TTCCTGCAGTGAGGCCAAGACATTGGCCTCAAACAGATCATGTTGCTATGGGTATGAGAGTCCCTGCATCCCAACCGTGTCAGATCTTTTTACTTCTTTAAAGACTTCACTGTGGAAGTCTCTATTATCTAGGGAGACCAGAGTCTCTTGGGCAGAGAAAGAGACCTCTGATTTGGAGACCAGCTAACTCATTTCCAGCTCCCTGCTTCAGGGTTATCATGCAATCTGACCTTGCAGGGAGGCTTCTCAGCCTATTAAAAATCTCATGAATTCAGCGTGGTTCCACAAAGGTGAGTAACCTGATGACCAGGTTCCAGGGACAGCAAAGGGGGGCCCACCCTGCCTTCATGGAAAGGGGATGAACTCAGGGGTATCCCTGTGCCTCCCACAGCTGGGAAGTGTGGGGGCTGCTCAACTTCAAGGGGTGCATTAAATCTTGGGACACTGACAGAGCAGGGCTCACTGGGGCTCCAGAGGTCTGTGAAGGTCACTAAACAAAAGGAAAAATGGAAAAGTTTTCAACGTCTGCTCCTGACAAATGATGTTGAACCAACATAAGGGCCGATGATTTGAGGGAGAGATTTGATGTTGCAGAAGAGTGTTGAAGACAGGGGCCTGGTACTCAAGGAAGAGCATGTCAGAGCCCAGAACTGCCTGCTTATGCCGGAGCCTTCTCTGAGCCAAGTGTGTGCACCTGTGTGCTTTCAAATGCCTCTCAGCAACCAATTCTTATTGCTCTTCTCGAATTTAGGAACAAAAATGTGAAGTTTACCTCATACCCCAGAGTGTTAAGGTAAAAATGATTGAGAAAGAGTGAGACATACTATTAAATATCAAGGCATTAAAAGGTTTGCAGGCATTTATTCTGAGCTACCAGAAGCCTAATGGCTGACTCTAATACAACACTGAGGCTATAAAGACAAATACAACACGCCTTCCAACACAGCGCACCTGCCCAGGAGGCAGTGATTGCTAGGCTGAAGTCAAGACCTGGTGCCAGGCATGGTGGTGCACACTTGTCATCTCAGTGACTTGGGAGGCTGAGGCAGGAGGGTCACAAGTTTGAGGCCAGCCTGGGCAACTCAGTGAGGTCCTAAGCAACTTAGCAAGACCCTGTCTCAAAAAAAAAAAAAAAAGCACTGGGAATGTGTCTGAGTGGTTAGCACTACTGGCTTCCATTGGAGGAGGAGGAGGGAGAGCAGAAGAAGACATAGTATTAGTAGAAGTAGTAAAGGCCCGAGGGTGTGAAACACCCCAGAGGACACTAGCCACCCTTCCTTGGGGGATTACAAGGATGGGATACCTGAAGTGAGAGTCAAGGACCCCTCTTTTTCTAGAGTAATAGAGTAGGGTTAAAGCGTGTAGAGGGAGAGGGGGGCTAGAGAAAGCACTTGAAGCTGGGGAACAGCTGATGGCCTGGGAACCAATGGGTAACTCGACATTAGTGGACACATTAGGAAGGTCCCCAGGGGTGGGCAGAGATGCAGCCACCCAGAGGTGGATGGCGCTGTATGGCAGAGGGGCGAGGTCCCACAAAGCCCCATCTGGTGCCCAATGAGGGCTCAGCTGGGTGGAAGCCTTGCCCCCCTCCCCTCCTTCCCTCTGCTTGGCCACCTTAGGAGTCCTTGCCCAGTATGCTCTTCCTCCCACATTTAAGCAATAATTTCCTATCTTTGGAGAGAGAAGGAGGGAGAAAACGATTAGCCTGAGATACTAGAATGAATCCAGATGATCCTTTGCAGAAAACGGCATTTGCCTAGAATAAAGGAAGGCATGCAAGTCACGGTGCTCTGCCACTCAGTCCACCACTGCGCTGCCCGGCAGGCACCGTGCCACTCAGCACTCGAGGTCTGGTGAGCCCAAGTCAAACGTGCTGAAAGCACAGATTAGACACCAAAACCTGTTACTTAAAAAACGGAATGGACCCTATCTCCTGAATTTCTTGTGATGACTCCATGTTGGCATTGTGATATTTTAGATAGATAAGTAAAATGCATCACTAAAAATAACTCCCCGTTTCTTTGCACTGTTTTCAATGTGATGATGGGATCATCCTGAATTACTTATGTGGCTCACATGCTTCTCTCAGACAGCACTGTGTACAAGAGCAGAACAGCACTTTGTTTGCCTCTGTGCTCGTTCTTCTTTGTTAGCCTTGGAAGTAGTCATTTAAATTAAAATAAAATATTCATAGAAATCAACAAGACCTCTTTCCTGGAGTCCTGTAAGGAAAAACGTAGTGTCATAAAGAACTGCCAGTTGTATCCCTCGCCATACTAAGTAAACAGCAGGCCACAGAACTGCACACACACTCGGGGTGTGAGAAGGCGAGCGGCACTGCTGGGCACTAAGGGTGCTGCAAAGACTCTGTCCTGAGGGCTGTGTTCCCAGCGCCACCTCTCAGCCTCACTGCCTCGCTGGACCCTGTGTGGCCAGAGGAGGCTCTCACCCGTGGTACTGCCGAAGGGCTCCACTCTCCAGCAAGAGACCTCAGCTCCATAAGCCCTACACCTGACTCCCCCCACAGGCAGGAAGTCTGGGCAAGGGAAGTGGGCATGGGCAATGGGCAGTGAGTTTCCTTGCCTTGGCACGGAAATATTACATGCACATGTTAATGGTAACATCGCATCAAGAAAAGCTGCAAAAATGTCACAAAGGACTCTCATGAACCCTTCACTTCTGTCCCCTGCCACAGTCCGGCTGGGCAAAATAACCGGGAGGTGACAAGCAGCTTGAAGGTTGAAGCGGGAACTGCTTTATTGCGGAACAGCAGAGGTTTATATACCTAACTGATTACACACAGCTTGACTCAATTAGCATCATCCAGATTCAGCAGTCCGCCAATAAGGAATCCCCACCATCTTAATGTCTCGGTGGCGTTGCCTCACAAACGACTACTCCTGGCAATCTGCCAGGCGCCATCTTGACTTGGTCATGGCCTCCAATAGTCCCCCATTAACGTATCATCACATTGGCTTTATCATATTTTCTGTCTTCATATGTGCGTATCTTCTGTACATATTTATGCAGTTAAGTTCTAAAATCACTTAAAAATAAGTCACCAAAATGACAGCCTTTTTACCCCCTATATATTTCAGTAGGCTTTCCCAAAGGGCAAGGGCACTCTCTGAGATACCATTAAAGTTACCAAAGTCAGGGAATGGGTATTAACACATATCTACTATCTTATCTATAATCACAGTCTCTAAATCATCCCAATAATATCCCTTAGAGTAAGAAGAAATAAATACAGGTCCAAGAACTAATCTGGATCAAGTCGTGCATGACGGTTGTGTTTCTTTGTCTTCTTTGGTGGTGGAATAACTCTTCGTCCTGTTTTCATATCCTTTACGACTTTGATATTTGAAGGGCAGAGGCCAGCTTTTTGTAGGGCGTCCCTCTATCTGGCTTTGTTGGAGGGTTCCTCATGACGACACTGGCTATAAATTTTGCTGGAATCTTCCTGTGTCTTTTTCAGTGCCACAAATCCATGGACTTTTTCCTGTTACTAGTGAAATCACTTTGCACTAGCTGGTGTGAGGTATCTGCCAGGTGTCTTCACTGTCGAGTGACTAATAACTAGTATACAGGTAATTCTGTGAGACTGTGTAAGGGCCCTTTTGTCATCAAACTCAGATTCAACATCTTAGCAATCATGGATCATTTTTGCATAAGAAGTGTTTTAGTGTGAAGATTGCCAAATCATAATTCCTGAACTAAATCATTCCTCCAATGTTCATTCACTGGCATTTTATGGTAAGTGCAAGCAATCCCTTCCACCTCATTGCCTAAGTTGTGTCTTGTCCTTGTTTGAATATGTCCATGGATTCTTATTTCTAATCTGCCACTGTGATCATCCATGTTGACAATCTAGTGATTTATTACTAATCATTCTCACTTTTCAAAAGCTGAGCCAGTGTTCATGGAGAAGTCACTGTTCTCGTCTCTTCTCCTGCCTTGCTCCATCTCCTCGTGATGGTGAGGCTTGGTAGTGGTTTGTGGCCATTTTGCTGATGAGAAACCAATAACGGCTGACAGGCCTGGAGCTAGATCACAGACCCAGGTGTAGGGTCTTCAAAGCTCATGCTTTTTACCAATATTAGCTTTGGTTGTAGATTGTCTTATTTCAAGACCCCAACAAATAAAAAAGACAAATTTAATATTAAAGCATACCTCTAAAGTTTCCTGAATGTTCACAAGTACCAGCATTACCAAGAGAATAAAACCATATGATAAATTCCTCCCCAGTCACTTCTCATAGCCTAGGACATGAGGATGATACCAAAATGGGTTGAAGAACATTTTCCAAACTGTGCCCAGCTCAGGGATCCTGACATGGCCCACAGGGCATTTGAGAATTCCTGTGGAGAGACATTTGTGTCACATCCATCTTGTTCTCTAGAGACCCTGATCATCACACCTTCCCCAAACACCAGGGAGAGTGAGGGGGCTGTTACAATTCCTATCACCACTAAAATAAAATCTGAGACACAAGGAATCATGGCTCAGTCTCCAAACAGCAGTAACAGATATAAAAGTTTTATTTTGATCTATTTTGTTTATTCTTTGCTCTGTGTAGATTTTAAGCCCTAGATTCATATCTATCTAATCAAGAACAGAAAGAGGAAACTAAGACGCTTGCTAAGAACATGCCGGCTAAATCTCATGAATCACACCCCATGAGCAATGGGTGCTCTCGGAGAGCAAAGGGACGCTCCAGACTTTGCAGGAATGTCCTTGAGTTGGCTGTCACCTGAGGAAGAGTAAGTCAGGATGGCTCCTGTGAAACAGGAGGTTACAGGGAACAGGAAGAGGCTGATGGGGAATCAGCTAAGTGGCAACTCACATCAACAGGGCAGCCCAGAGTCCTGTGGCCCGACCAGCTGAGAAGTGAGACACTGCCCCGCCTCGACGGGCGCCCTTGCTTCTGTCTCCCTGCCCTCAAAACTGAGTTAATTGGGATGGAAAACGAGAGCTGAGAACAATTAAATAGCACCTACCTGGATAAGAGACAGGTCCTCAAGCTGCAATCTGAAGAGGTAGTTCCTGCAAGACACAAGAGGAGAGCAGGTTTATTTTTAGTGGATTCTAAAAAATTCATAAGTATTATGAGACTAAAGGACATGAACACATGAAGATTTGGGCTTCAGACTTATCCCGATGCAGGAGTAATACCCAGAATATGTAAAGAATTCAAAAAATGAAACATCAAAAAACCAAGTGATCCAGTTAATAAACTGCCAAGTGTGTTAAACAGACATTTCGTAAAAGAAAAACAAAACTAGTCAACAAATACAAGCACCATCTTTACTAGCAAAAGAAACCATCTTAAATATTTAACAGGAGGCAAATAGTTATATACACCATAATATATCCACAAAATATTCAACAATTTCAAAATCAGGATTGATCTAGCTGTGTGCAGTTGTGTACACCTGGAATCCTTTGGCTGAGTGGGGAAGACTGCAAGGTCAAAGTCAGCAATACCCTGTCTCAAAAAATAGTAATATTCAACATCATAGAGAAATTCAATCAAATCATCTCATTTACGAAAGCTAGAGGAAAAAAATCAAAAAAGCTAGAGAAAAAAGCAAATCATTAAATTAGAGATATACAAATCAAAAACACTGAGATTTCATCTCACTCCATCAAGAACACAAACCAGGGCTGGGGCTACGGCTCAGTGGTTAGAATGCTTGCTTCGCATGTATGAGGCAGTGGATTCAATCCCCAGCACCACATAAGAAAATAAATAAATAAACAAAATAAAGTTATTAAACAAAGAACCCAAATAATAATAAATGTGGGAGAGGATGTGGACAAAGGGACACTTTTACACTGCTGGCAGATAGCCAGTTGGTAAACCACCATGGAAATCAGTATGGAGTTTCCTCAAAAGACAGGAATGGAGCCACCATATGACACAGCTAAGCCACTCCTCAGTGTTGACTCTAAAAGTATTAAAGTCAGCATACGATGGTGACACGCGCATACCTCTGTTTATAGCAACACCATCCACAACAACCAAACTATGGAACCAGCCTGGGTGTCTGTCAACAGATGAACAGTTAAAGAAAACGTGGTATGCATATACAATGGGGTGTTATTCACCCATAAAGAAGAATGAAATTATGGCATTTAGGAAAATATATAGAAACCGAGAACATCATGTTAAACCAAATCCAGAACTCAAGAGTTGTGAGTTTTCTCTCACATGCGAAAGCTAAAGAGGAAAAAAAGAAATAAAGAAGGTTGTGGTGGGGATCTCATGAAAACTGAAGGGAGACCAGCAAAGTAAGGTAAGGGAGCAGGGGAAGGGTAGAGGGTGGGAAATCCTGGGGAATGATATTGGCCAAACTACATTGTTATATCAAGTTCATCTACAAATATGCAACAATGAATCCCACCATTATGGATAACTATAATGCACCAATACAAATATGGAGAAAAGCTTCCTACTAAGAACATGCCCAGCTCAGAGGACAAAGGCATTCACCAGGCCCATGGACACACTGAGACTGCCAGGAGAGCTGGTGAGTAAGTCCCCAGTGTGGGGGACTGGGAAAGTCACGGTTGGCTCTCTCCATCTGCATGCATTAGAAAAGGACAAGGGAATTTGATTCTGAAACTGAGTTTAACTTCAGTAAAAGCATACCCCACTGTTCCTCAGGAGTCTCCACTCCGATCCATGGCCCCGACTCGGCACGACTTATATGTAGGAATGTGAATTTCACCCAGGGTCTCAGTATCATGGCACTCCATCTTATTGAGGAATTCAGTTTAGAAATATGGACTTGTTCGTCCACCTGAGGACACTGATGCTCCCAAGGATTTGAGTCAGTTCTGTGGTCCCCCGTGAGACACAGGAAATCTGAGAAATGGACACTATCAGGGGATACAAGGAATAGCAGGTCCACAGTGTTGCAGCTTTGGGAGAAAACCCACTGCCCTCCATCACAGGGCCATGTTGGTCTCTGGCTGAGATGATGGTGGCTCCTTATCATCATGAAGGAGCCACCCGGGCAGCAGCAGCAGCAGCATTCCAGAATAAAAGGAGAAATCAACTCGGTGAAAGTGGAAGTGGAAAGAAAAAATTGATCTACAATAGAGAGCAGACCCTCAGGTGTGGATGAGTGTGGGCAGGGTCTAGAGGAGCCGGGTTGTACCATGGGTTGCCCAAGGTCACTTCTATGGCACTATGAAAAACTTCCCAGTGAGAAGCAAATGCAGATGACGTCCCCTACACTACCTTGGGGAGGGGTAAAGATGGAAGATGTCAGATGTCAGAACTGGACCTGCCACTGCAGTCAGAATGCCAAATGCGGCCATGCCAGGCAGGCACAGCTGCCAGGGGACCAAGAAACACGGTTATGGTCAGAGATGGGACGGACGAAGCCCAGCAGAATCTGATGCTCAGTAGCATCTGTGCTCACGCTGATGGAGGGCACCAGGATCATCACAATCCCTCCCACACCATGGGCATAATGCCACCCACCAAGTGAAGCCTGTCTCCTGCCAACCACAATAGCCTCTCGCCACATGCTTTCTGTCTCTCCAATTTAACCCCTGATATCCTGCCAGAGAAGCTTCTGGAAGCACTGCTTGGCATGTGCCATCCTTACCGCAAAGCTGTGGGGAGGAGACCTCCCTGTCTTTTGTTACAGTAAAGCCAGCGTCCTCCATGCAGAGCCAGATACCAGGTCCTCAGGGGAGCAGGAACGCCATAGGAGAGTGGGTTTTTTGTTTTTGTTTTGTTTTGGCCAGACACCAGGGAGAGGCCAGGTTTCCAACAGGAAGTTCATCTGAGGGAAAGGGAGGTGAGCTCAGTGCACAGGTGGAACAGACTGACTGCCAAGGGAAACCGTGGAGGCCACCAGCGTCCCAAGTTTTCCCATACTCTCAACGGCTGTGTCCAGGCACCCACACCTCTCCTGTAAGGGAGGTGAGGAATCCATACACAGGACTCGTCTCTCCGCTGAGGGACTGGCAAGGGACACGAGGGGCAAATACAACCCATCACCTCCCTGAGCAATGGGGCTCCACCCTCCACCATTTCCCCTGAGCCTTCTAACTGCAAACAGCTGCCCCTGTACTAGGGGAGGCATTATTCCCCGGTGGCTCAGAATAATTGTACAAAGAAGAGCTCTGCCACCATACAGCCTCGGGAAGGAAGTGACTTCCACTCTAGTCCTCAGTCTTCTCATCAGGAAAATGGAAGTGATTATCACGCCTAACCACCTAGTGGTGGTGTTTTGAAATTTAAACCCAAGGAAACTGTTTAGAATGGAGCCTGATCCAGTGTAAGTGCTCAATTAACAGCTGCAGTTTCCAGTTGAAAATAAAGACCATTAAAACTTCAAGGTACACTGAAATTCTCAGCATATTCTCCACTGCACTGGGACAGAAAGAGCGGTTCTGCCTTCCAGCAATCGCAGGTTAGAAGCAGAGGTGACACAGGCATCCCTGTGTCTTTAGGGATGGGCTGCAATGGGGAGGGGTGGTAGTGGTGCTATTGGGTCTTAGGAAAGGAGACGCATTAGTTTTCTTGTCATTAGTTGAGAGAAACTATTCGAACCCAAGATTCCTATTCTCTTACACATGCACACACATACACATGTGTGTGTGCGCGTGCGCGCAGACGCACAGGCGATGATTGCACTACAACATCCACCTTGCACCTTGGAATACTTTCTGGAATGGTAGCCCTCATACACCAAGGAAGAGAAAGAAGTTCCCTCCCATCACTGAGGAAAGAAGATGGTAGGAGCCACCGTGCTCTGTAGAGCTCCCAGCAGATACTTGGAGAGGAAAGCTCAGGGCCCTCTCTCTACTTGGGAGCAATGGGTGGAGGTATAGAGACCACCTCTGAATCTCCGGTTCCAAAGTCAGGTGTTTTCCACAGCAGATAACACTGATTTAGGACTGAAACCACGTCACACTCGAATTCCACGGGTCCCTAAGCAAATGTCACTCTTCTGAACATTATTTTTTCTGCTTCCTGCATGCTATGAGTCTGTAAGTCACCTCCTCTCGGCAAACAATGCCAGGGAATTTCAACCATCTCCTTCCTTCTCCCAAACACCTGAGGACTATGTCTCCCTCCCAATTTTCTCATCAGTAATAACAAATCCATATGGAAGATACAGAGCAGGAGGCAGGAGGAGGCAGAGAGGAGGAGGCATGTGCCTTCTAGGAAAAATGCCACCACTGTTACCATCACCATGCCCATGCCCGACACCATGCTGCAGAGAAGTAACGCAGGTGTGTGGACTTTTCCTCTGGTTGTATTTTCTTGGTTACAAGACACAAGTTGGCAATTTTTAACTCATTCTCAATTTTTTTTTAATCTAAAGGAGAATCAAAGAATCCAAGAATTCTAGAGCTGTCATTAAAGAATATAAACCCCTCAATTTATGGATGAAGGAAATTGTACAAATAAAGAGATGCAGTGTGACTTGTCCAAGGATTCAGAGAGAGACCCTTTGTGCCACTTGGGTCTCATTTACTCACCAATTAGGCATCCAATACCCTCTTCCTCATCTCACCTGCACTGAAAACTCACGTAGTGCACGGCACCAGCCCTTACTGTGTCATTATTCCACAAGCTCATTGTTCACACCCAGGAGCACTTACGGTCACTCTAAGACAGTTCAAGTGCTTCTCATAATGAGCTCTTGATTCCAGGCCATCAATTCCCACCTCTGGGGCTACAGTCTGGCTGTGACATATGTCTCCTCATTAAGAGAACAGGTTGACCCCACTGGTGTGGCTGATGACATGGTGCCTCCCTTCTCACTCATTATTTGCTTGAATTCTTCCCAAAACTGTCTGCCCTTCATTTTAAGAGGGCACCATTTTCTTCATTTTTGAAACTAGAGAACTATACCGTACAATCTGTCAGAATACTAAAAAATGGGGGAGGGACATTTTTAGACATGTACAAGGCCCAGTGGAGTTGGTTGACTATATGGCCATTGGGAAATGAAATGGATAATTGGGAAATGAAATGTCTCCAAAAGGCCTATGAGTCAAAGTTTGATCCCCAA